GAGAGAGAGAGAGAGAGAGAGAGAGAGAGAGAGAGAGAGAGAGAGAGAGAGAGAGAGAGAGAGAGAGAGAGAGAGAGAGAGAGAGAGAAAGAAGATTAAATAAAGATATAATTTCTACGAATGAATGAGATAGAGAAAAGTATGATTATTACGCATCAAAATATTTCGTATGTATGTTTTCAAAGATCATTAATATATTATCATTTTATTTTTATTTTATATTCTTATTGTATATCGTTCTAATAACAGAATCAATTATTTAAACTCCACAGTTTTTTTTTTTTTAGACAAACTGGCACAACAATAAAAAATCCAATTATATTTTTTATCTTTTTTATCTTTTTTTTGTAACAAGATGCATTTCGATCAATACATTCCATCACCAACAACTATTTAAAAATACAATATTTAAATATTTGACTTAAAAAACAGGCAAACAAACTTTATTATAAATACTATATTGAAACACTACTGCAAATTTATCAAATTTATACTTTTTATTTAGTCAAGCTTCAGCATTTTATGAATAGGAAACTTGAAGCCAAAATTGCTTTAGGTATCAAATAAGCATAAAAAGAGCAAATAAAGTAATATCTAAAACAGTTAGATCTACCTGTAATATCATATCATGCTAAAAAATTAGGGTATAGGAATTACTGATAAAAACACACACATACCAAACACTCAGAGACATGACTGTGCCAAAAAAAAGTTACAATTCAAAGGACATAATGGATCATCGCTTTTCTCTAATAATGAAAACATTTGATTTATGCATTTGCAGAGGCATGCATTGCAAAATATATCTAAAAACATTGTATCGATTGATTCCTTCTTTACCAAAATATTTACTGTGAAAGACTTTCTCTTTGTGCACGTATACTATCTAAAACAAACCATTAAAATTTTGCTGATTCATATATTTCTTAATTTTCTTTATCTTTTTTTTAAAATCCTTTCAAGGCTGACTCGACGTAATATAAATAAGATGCTATATAGATTTGTCCTGGATGAAAAGAATCACCAGAACTTACAAGACAAACATTACATTTATATATATATATGTATATATATATACATATATATACATATATTATAACGGTATTTGCAACGCATGCATTTGCAATACATATAAAAATATATAATCAATTTCTTGATGTCAAAGGGTTATTAAAGTAAATAGTTGCATGGATGGGATAAGTTGTAGATATGAATAATAGGTAAATTGGTAATGTGTGATGGGATAAGGTAAGGAATTTTGGCTTAAAGGGAAGTGAGAAAATTGAGCTGATTTTGGCTCCAACCTGGCTGGTTCGAAGCAGCGGTGTCTGCAACGCTCCTAGGTTCAACTTCGGCAGGACTGGGACTTAGTTCCTTAGCAGGATCACCAGAGGAGGTAGAGTGGGAATGACCATAATGGTAGACCAGACCAGGTCTGGTTTTATACCGTGCGCTGCATACTGCAAAAGTGCAAATACTGTTTTCCCGCAATCCATCTAACGCAACGTCCATAAAAAGACAGACCTTTTTTAATGGATATTTAGGAAGGTTTAAGGATCGAAGCTTACGGGTCGAGGAGAAGGAAATTTGCACACCTTCCGCACCAGTACACATCCCTATCCACCTACAGATCTATATGTGGACAAGCAGTGAAGGAGTTCCAGCCCAAGAAGCAAAACTAATACGATGCAAGGCTTGATGCTTGTATACTCCTACAGAATGAGCTCGCTACAGTGTGAGCCAGTACATTATTGCTCTGTTATTGGCAGGTAAAATAAGTCTAAAGATATTTGGCCACTTTCATAAGCTCACTTAAGAACAGACAAAATTGCTAATTCTTATCGATAATAGGAGCTTACTATACGAGACCAAATTTCTTAAGATTTCTGCTAGTCTAACAGGAGTGGTTTCAAGAAGTAAACAGATTGCAGGCACATTCGAGTTAATTCGCTAGACTTTGGGTCTGAAAAAGTATACTCAAATTAGTAATGACTATTGTATTCCTTCAAAACTTTAACTGGTATGGAATTATTATTGTATTAAACAAAATTATTTATCAATCTTTTATTGAAACTATATTCGTACTAGATTATTTATCCTTATAAACGTATATTATGTCTGTAGGAGAGATAAATCAGTTGTAAACGTACTTAAGATTTATAGAGGTTATTTTGCTTCAATTTGGAAAGTATAAATACATAACAAAAGAGAAGTATTAATATGATATTAGGAAAGTAAGTAAAGGTAAGTAAGTGAAAAAAGTTTGGAAGTGTTAAACAAAATATCAGGTATAAAATAAAATCTCCCTGTTATGAGTTAAACTTAATTATGAAAATATTCAAATAAATAACAGCGTGTTTTGTAAAAAATCTACAACGCGTTAAATGAAGATACGGTTGCTATAAACTTGAAGGAAAACAACAATCAATACGGTACCGATCACTTTTAAATATCAAAATTAATATGAGACTAAAGAGCGACTTCCCACATTATAGTTCATTATATGATCGATCACCATCCCTCGGTGTAAGATTATGCAGTATTCAACGCTAAAATATTTAATAATTTATTTCTAACTTCCATCTTATCTTATACTATAAAGTAATTCTTTCATGTACCTTGCAAAATTATATGTAAATCTAGTTAAAATATAATAACTAAACAATATTGACAAATTTGGTAACGCGATGCATTTCTTTCTTAAACAAAACAATAACTGATAGAAATAATAGTAATAATAGTAATAATATTAATAATAATAATAATAATATTTGGTGAAACTAATAACAGGAGAGAATCATTTGTAGTTGTATCTATGATTAAACTTACGGTCACAAACGAATGGCTTATCAGAGTCTACAGCATCATAGTTTGTTTTCTTTCGGCCACGTCCCCCACCCTAAATAAAAAAGAAAAATAATTATCGCATTATTTCTTTACCATAATATTTTTATATTATCGCATTATTTCTTTACCATAATATTTTTATATTATTGCATTAACTAATATTTCATAATATGCAGATGTACCTTTGTGCGTTTGGTCCCAGGACTATCTGTGGTCGGTGGATGGCTTCTGGCAGGATGATGGCCACCACCTCTGTGTTTTCTTCTTTTCCTTTTACTACTGTAACTTTCTTCGTAATCATAATCACTATCTGGGTCAGGCTCTTCGTATGCATCCATATCCAACATGTCTTGTTCGTCATAATACCATGCATCTTTACTATGTTCATCTTTGGAAAAAATAACAATGAATTATCATCTAGCTATATTTCATGTCAACTATCGTAAGATGAAATTATTTTGTGGGATATACCTTTAAGTCCAACTGATTCTTTACTATCATCGTTAACATGTGTTATAGTTTCTATACCCTCTGATCCATCTTCAATGTCACCTCTCATCATTCGTTTTGGATGTAAATAATGCATTAGATACTGACGCCGCTTTTTCCTCCATCGCTTGCTTGGATAGGTATAAATTTGTCCATGTAATAATCCTGGTAACCTTTCTCTTGGTGACATGAACAGCGTCGAATGATTCTGTGCTACACCTACAATATTTAAACAACGATAAGTAATATCGTATTAATATATACAAAAACATTAATACAATTATTTATTCAATACTAAAATCACTATAACACCAAATTGGTTAAAACTTTACAAACATGCATTTGCATTCATAAACAAACATAGTGAATTTTTTAATGGATCAATAAACGTATAGAAAATAAATTCACACACACGCACTGACCAATTAAGTGAAAACAATATTCACAGATATATAAAATATTATAATTTACCCGTCTGCGAGTCCAAAAAAGGCATACGTAACCTTCTTTCTCTGCATAATCGACTATTATAATTTGACGAGTTTTCAATGGCTTCCCTGTATGCTGTGTCATTGAGAAAACTGTAAGGAAATACTTCGTATGTAATATTGTATATTTCCTTATATTTTACACGTAACCAAGATTGTCGATGTAAAATAACATTACCTTTCAATTTTAATTAAATTATTTTCATTAACTGCTTGAATAATACCATGAGAAGCAGGAGACATAGCAACAGCAGTCATTTTCAAGCAAGTCCGCTACTCCAACTTGCTTGGATGATTCCTTCTTTCCGGAAATTGAACTAACCTAGTCAAATGCAACTCTTTACTTCCTATTAAATCTACGGACATTTTTACCATATTTTTCGATCAATATTTATGACGTTTTATGTTTACAAGTTGTTAAATTATGTTTACATAAAATAATGGTTAACAATTTAATACCATTTATAGGTTAGATTATGTTATTGGCTAAGTTTAATAGGATTAATCATACTCGTATTGATTCGCGGTATATATGTGCATGTACGCATGCCTATATTATTATAAATGTCATATTCAAATGTTGAAACACGAGAGAAAAATCCTTTCATCTTTATTCTGGACACATTTATTTATTTTACATTTTCATATTATAATTTATCATAGCATTTCATTATTGGTTTAACATTGAATAAATATTAAGTACATCTCTTAAAGAGTGACAGATATATAGAGGAATTGATGCAAGAGAAATATTAGATCAAATGAAAAAGCGATCGTGATAGTTTTATTTAAACGGTGCTCGATATAAGAAAACCTAAGAAAACCATAAGAAAAATGATAAATTACACGTGTGTTCAATGGTAGGAATCGAAATGGTGGTTACAATATACTATTTGAAAAATTCTCTTCTTTTTTTTTGCTATATGTTTTTCTTTCACGTTTTTTATACAAAATGTTGGAAAGTTTTCTCTGAAGTCTGGAGTGCATTTTATTCCTAAAATGTATTCAAAGCGGTTACACGCATTTAACAATGCGTTAACTACTTGTAAATTATGGAGCACAGCCATTGAGATGAACATTTCAAATTACAAACTCATAATATTTATATCATATATAGATTATGTGAAAAATGTAAGCAATCAATATCTATTTTCTCATTCTATTATTTCAATTTTAACAAGGCAACTTGTTGAACTATCTTTTTGCGAATGCTGTATGTCATTTTGTACAAGACATTGTCGTTGTTTTTTTTTATCTACTGCAAAAGATTATTATTTAATAATGCCGATATATATACAATGTTAAGTTCCATAATTGAATACTAAAGTTAGGATATAGTGACAAATTTTTCATTAATAATATTATATCGCATATGAAATATATTGTAAATTTAAATAATTCGATAAAGAAATTTTTTTGCATTTTTACATATAATTTCTTTCTTTGTCTATTTTTATATATGCAAACATGTTTCTCGATCAGACACTATCACTTTTGTTTAGACTATAGCGTTCTTCTTCTTTTTTTTTTTTCTTAAATAAGAAATTATATAAATTGATCACTTAATTATTCGCTTACGAAAAAAATGTACTAACAATAAGTTATTTTTCTCTTTTGTATACTTAGTGCTAGTTATGTGAAATAGTTAAGAATATATACTGCACGAAAAGGATTTATTCCCATATTTTAAAAGTGCATTAAGATCATATCTTATAACTTCTTAAGCTTAGACATATTACCTACATATAAATAAATTGTCTGCATAGATAAAGTAGATTTATTGAAACCTTTCTTCGCAGTTACGATCTTTTCTTTCTTTAAATAATTTGAACTTTTCGATTAACTCTTCCGTTTTAATCACACCGTGTACAACGTTATCCCTTGTACGAACATTTACAGTGCCTGCATTTCGTTCTATCTCTCCAACAACTGAAAAGATATTATGTAATTAAATAGAAAATAATATTTTATTAAAATATTATATTAAAGATATAAAAAATATTTGAATGTATATACCAAGTATAAAGTTAAATTGGGCTAATTGAGCATTACGAATTTTTTTGTTCAATGTATCACTAGGATCGGTATCAACTTCTGCATTAAAGCCAGCATCCCAAAGTTTAGTTTTAACTTCAATTGCATATTCGTCAAAAGGTGTTCCCACAGGAATCACCATTACTTGTCGCGGTGAAAGCCAGAAGGGCCACTTTCCTGCATAAGATTCGGTAAGAATAGCAATCATTCGTTCTACAGAACCCAATATAGCTCTATGAATAATTACTGGTCTTGTTTTTTCACCCGATTCACTGAAAAATAATAATATTATAAACTATATGCTAATATGAATATTTTATGTAATTACATACTTAATTTTTCAGCTTACTTGACGTAAGACAAATTAAATCTAATCGGTAGTTGAAAATCTAATTGTATCGTGGCACATTGAAATGGTCTTTTTAAAGCATCCATAATTGTTATATCAATTTTAGGACCATAAAAAGCACCATCCTGAGGATTTAATTTCCATGATTCTCCAAACGTATCCAAACTTTCCTCTAACGCTTTTTCAGCTTGATCCCAAACAACCAAGTCTCCCAAATATTTTTCAGGACGTGTAGATAGACACAAATTAAATGTAAAACCGAATACAGAATATACATGACGAAGGAAATCCAATGCTCCCAACACTTCTTCCTTGATTTGATCTGCCATGCAAAATATATGCGCGTCATCTTGTTGAAAACGTCTCACTCTAGTGAGACCTGTTAATGCGCCAGACAATTCGTTGCGATGTAATACTCCAAAATCTGCCATTCTTAAAGGTAATTCACGCCAAGATCTATTTCGTACGTCAAAGATCATACAATGACCTGGACAATTCATTGGCTTTAACGCAAACGTTTCCTTTTCAACATCAAACGAAAACATATTTTCCGAATAATGTTGCCAATGACCAGAAGTTATCCATAATTTACTATTATAAATATTTGGCGTTACAACCTCTTGGAATCCTCTCTTTCTATACTCGCTACGAATAAATTCGATTAAAGTGTTATAAATATAAGCGCCACGTGGTTGGAAAAAGCAAGATCCTGGAGAGAGTTCATGGAAGAAGAATAGTTCTTGTTCTTTTCCAATTTTTCTGTGATCACGACTAGCAGCTTCTTCTTGGAATTTCTCCCATTCTTTCAATTGTTTAGTATCAGGGAAACTAATTCCATATATTCTTTGCAAAGATTCCGCGTCCGCTTTACCTTCCCAATACGTTGAAGAATTTTTAGTAACTTTAATCGCTTTAACTTTTCCCGTATGCCTAATATGCGGACCTCTGCACAAATCAATCAGCGGACCACATCTATAAACGGTAGTAGTAGGAGTATGCACCTTTTCTTTCAAAATGCGTACTTTGAATTCGTTATATTTAAACATTTCTAATAAATCTTCTTTCTTCATTTCGAGTCTTTCAAATGGTTGCTTCTCTTTAACTATACGCTTGTATAGAGTCTCCAAAAAAGGAAAATCTAAATTGGATATACCTTTATCACCAAGGTACATGTCATAGTAGAAACCATTCTCTATTGGTGGTCCGTAACATAAGCATCCACCATAAACACGTTCCATAGCTTCTCCAAGGATATGAGCACTAGAATGCCAAAAAACTTGTTGAGCATCTGGATCATCAAACTTAAGAAGCTGCAGTTTACAACTAGTTTCCAGAGGTCTGTCGAGATCCCAAAGTTCATTATTAACTTTTGCTATTACAACACTGTCAGATAAACTTTGACTAATATTCCTTGCAATTTCATATGGTGTAGTACGCCATGATAGACCGCTAACTTGTTTCCCATCAGGAAGCGTTATGGTTATCTCTTGAGATTCTTTCCCTTCAATTTCAATGTCGTATTCAGCTTTCAATTTATCCCATAAAACTAAACGTTCCTAAAAGTATATACATATGCCATATAAAACTTAACATAATAACACATGAAACAATATTAGGAATACTTGTTCAAATATTTACTTGAATATATTCAGGCCATGGATTTAACTCGCAAACTGAACTCTTTTCAACAACATTTTTCTTATCTTTCCCTGGCTTCATTTTTGCCTAAAAAGAAAAAAATAAATGCAAACAATCAGTAAACTGTTCTACAAATAAGAACCAATAACATAATGCTTCGATCTGTTTTTAATAAAGTCCAGAAAAACTGTCAAGGTAGATCAATGGAATTGTTAAGAAATCGAATATTAAGGTTATGTCAGATTATTGATTCATATCTTTGTTACAATGAGTGGTACCATAATAAACAATGAATAGCACAGGAAAATAATATTTTATAATTGAAAAATGATCTTTTTTTATTTTAGGACACACGATGATTCTGTTAAATGATTACTATATAATTTTATAACAAACCCAAGCGTGCTTCCGTCTAGTACCACTGTAAATGATCCTACAACCGTAAATTCGTAAATATGTCAACATGATATAGAAAATTAAATATATAAACGACAAAATTCGAATGATAATTAAATAACTCGTGCCTTTTCTTCCTTAATATTCAAGCTTTGAATATCGGATACCACGTTGTCGACCATGTTGTATTCACACTCCTCCTATTTCGACTATTTGAATACTTGCAATATTGTTCCGCAGTACTATATAACAATTCGTTTAAAATTAGTCAATTTCATAGAATTAACAATAATTATGATCGATATGATTTAATTCAAATAATGAATGAAATTACAGTTTATATACCTTTTTACTTTTATTGTTAAATTGGATATAAAATGAATCACCGTTAAATTCTTTATATTCCAACACACGTCTTACACACAGTTCCAACACGTGGATGATCGTTTTATTCTCAATAGAGAATACTTCGCTACGTGTCACGACAATCGCTTTTTTTTTTATTAATGTGGTTAATATGAGTTTCAACGAATAATTGTTGCATTTATATTTCATGTATTTTTATATGTCAATATTATAGTTATTTAAAAAATAATTTGTTGTAACTTGCTTTTTTTTAAAGCGCATTATCAGCGTAATACGAATATTTAAAAAGTCGATGAATCAGTTTTCTACGTTTCATATTTTCAAATGGTAAGATAATAAAAATATATACATATACGTATATATATATTTTATAAATTATATTTGTAGGATTTATATAAAAGATCGAGATAATTAAAAAGAAAAAAAAATAGTAAAAAAGAACTTCGATCCTGCCAGGATTCGAACCTGGAATCTTCTGATCCGTAGTCAGACGCGTTATCCGTTGCGCCACAGGACCTTCTTGGCGACTTATCTGCTTACTTATTTCATAAAGTTAGAGTTAGTCGCAGTAATTTAAAATAATTCAATCATATTAACAAATTTGTACAAATCTCATAAATTCTCTATGCCGATTACATAGACACGATATAAATTTGAGAGAATAAAATTGATAATAATTAAATGCTTTTTACTTGGAGTTATGAATATAAAAACAAAATCTTTATTACTTAAATATATGCAAACATGCTTAAGTTACAGTTTGGAAATTAAACCTAAACTCTTTCGAATTGTCCTTATCAATTATACAACTATCCTTATTATCTGATGAATCTTGTAAGTATTCCTGCGATTTGTTATCAATTTTTACAGAACTTTGTTTTACATTTATAGAAGCTTTCCTTAAAAATACAGATTTTTTATTTAAATTTGGTTTATTTGTAAATGTAACGGATGTAACTTGTTTTTTAAGTTTCTGTTCGTCTTGAGTCATTTTCTTCCTATAATCTCCTAATTTATTTCTCATAATTTGTCTCTTTTTAATCAAAGGCGCGGCATTACTTTTTAAAGTATTTACACTTTTCAAAATATCTTGCTCTTGTTTAGCTTGTAAGTTTCCTTTTTGTAAAGTCGATTCCAATTCTTGAATACACCAATAAAGTTCTAATACAAATTGATCTTCTTCTTTTTGATTTAATCCACTTGTTATTTCTACGCTGGTAGATGTTTCATTCTTTATTTCTGAATTTGTTTTTACACTTTTTTTCTTAGGAGATACCTTGTTATCCTAGAAACACAATTAATTTATTTTTGTATACTGTAGTAATAATTTTTAACAAGTCTCTAAAAATAAAATTGTAATATTCATTAATTACTAGTATACATTACATTTTTTTTTGGTCTCATTGTGATACAAAAACAAATATTCTGTATTAAAGTGTTACACTGTAATTTGAAGGTTATACTTTTATCAAACTGAAATATCCGCCATCTTAGTACGTTAACCAAACATAACGTAGAACGATGCTGGAGAAAAATCTTAAAACTAATAGGTGGTAGATGTCTGGTAGGTGCTGCCACCTTTATCGAAAGCAACGCTCGTGCCATAGTGAGATTTTAATTATTGTGTTTTATATGCTTTTTTCTGTGATTTATTTCTAAATTAAAATGATGGTTTCAGTTGTATTCGAATTTATTTTATTTTATGTCAAGACCCCGTTATTGTGGAGTAATGAAGGTAAATTTTTTGTAATTGCAAGTAGTCCAAAATATTGAATCATTTCTTGTGAATGATTTTAAGGTTACATTCAAATTATGCAATGTGCTTTTGATTGCAGCTAATATGTCATACATTAATTTCACAAATGACTAAATAAATATTTATGATAAATACTATGAAAATAAAGAAAGGATGAAAGTTGGAGATAGTTGATCTAGGACCTCTCATTTATGTAAAAAGGATGTTTTAATCTTAAAGTAGTTATCAGGGCCAGTCGATTTTTCTCATGATGCCAAGTGAACGAGAATCTGCAAAGGATATTGCAACAAGAGCTAAGTGGTTTGAATTTAAATGATTATCATTATCAAAATTGATGTCAATTTAAATGTTTGTTATTAAATCATCCACAATAGATTAGGTAAGCAATAGATAAATCCTACTATACTTGATCATATGGCAATATACATTGTTTTCAATCTTGTTACTGGTATAGTTATTTTAAAGAGAATGTTTGGTATTCCAGTGATCAGCAATAATTAATGGAGCATTAATGCAGAAATCAAAGCATTATGATCAAATTAAAGAAAAAAGAACGAAGAGAAATTGGTAAATATAAAACGAGAATCAAATTAATTAGACAGTTTATTACATCCAGTGTGCCGGTATAGAAATATTATACAAATTCGAAGATGTTTTCGAAAGAATTACGAAACGTTAAAACTACATGGATTTTTTTCTTCTTTTTTCTTTCTTTTTTTCTTCTTTCTTTTTTTAAACATGTACATACAAGAGAGCGACGTGTAACGTTTCTATACAAACACCCAACATGGCGAGCATAAAAGTGTGCGCACACAAAACGACCCGCCATTTCTACCAAACGAACTGTCCTAATTATAAATTCTAATTTACCGGAGTATTTTATTTACAATTTAGTGCGTTTCTCTCCCATTACTTTTCTTTAAGCTCGCACACTTTGGTATTTTTTTCTTTTTCCTTCTTTCTTTCTTTTTTCTTTTTGTGTCTGTATTTTTGTTGAAATCAAATCGTCAAAGAGTTTTTACCTTGCACACGCACGTTCATTGAAACATAAAAATAAAAATTAAAAAAAAAAGAAGAAAAAAGAATGATACTTAAGGATTGCATTTAAGTTTCTGAGAAGATGTTTATGAACTTACAACATAATCGGGATAGCGTGTAACTATTAAATATAAAATCAGCATGTATACGTCATTCGCTATTTATAGTAATTATGTTAATATTATTATTATTATTATTATTACTATTATCATTATTATTATTATTATTATTATTATTATTATTATTATTATTATTTGGGCCTGAGCATATTAATGATCCTAAAATCAATTCAATTTACAGCAACGACGTTAACAATAATTATGTACACTTCGTACAAGAGTTGTCATCGTACGCGCTATCGTTGGAAATATTTATTATATTTCTTTTTTTTTTAAACACCATCGGTGATTTGTTTTATCGCCTTCTTTCTCGCCTCCTCTCACCCTTTGGGATAGGTGCTGTGTTTGGTCAAAATTGTTAGTCCTATTAGAGGCCAAATGCGATAAGTATTTCAGAATTGTCGAGGATCAAATACTTTGGCCATTGAATTCCATACTATTAAAACAAATAAATATGATATTCTGTGATTAATCTTTGAGTCTTGTAAGTGTAAGTTGAAACAACTGCTTGTTATTGTTACTTGAAATTATAATAATATGATTTAGCGCAACGAGAAAAGCAAGCTTAACAAGATGATTTTTTTTTAATTTTCAAGAACAAGGATAAGATTGATTTATTTTCACAAATAAATCGTATATTCTAGATCAGAGATTGCCAAAGCATGCGTCGTGTTAAATATTTCAAATATTAAAGTAGTTCACTCACGTACATATTTTTTAGGAGAATTAAATAATTTATTTAAGAATTATTCTTTTTAAAAATGGTTCTCAGGCCACAAAAATTTGGGAAGCCCTGTTCTAGATTTTTGAGTGAAGAGAAATGATATCTTATAATTAATTGAGAAAAGAATTACATCGTTTAATTTTATTATCGAATCAAATTTGTCGTTCCGTTCTAAGCAAAAACAAAAATATTTCCCGAAAACAATATAAATATATAATAAAAAGTACAAAGATTCGCATTATACTTTTTCTCTAACGCAAAATATTTCACTATTGGCTTGAATTAAAAACTCGAGTCCCACAATCGATCAATTTTTTATTAAAAGGACTGATCACAATTTGTCCTGTGAAAAGAAATTAGAAATTGGTTGATCGCAGTAGCCAATTCCTTGTTCGCATGACCAAACTTTCATTGTTCAGCATAATTTTTTCCTTAATACGTATATCCTTTCTTCCTCCTATAATACAATACTTACTATCGTTGTTCGTAGATTTCTAAATAAATACTATTCGTCTCGAGCTAAAGTTTCGATTTCGGGAGATTCGCACTTTTTCTCTAACCCCTTATATTTCTTTCATCTAATAAAACTTACTAAACGGATCTACATCGGTGTGCTTCCATGAGCATTATTTGTCCTATATAGAATTCATCGACGACGACGACGACGACAATAAGGCAGAGAAAGAAATAAAAAAAAAATAAAAGAGGGAAATAAAAAAAAAATACAAGGAGGAAGAGAGAGAGACAGAAAAAGAAATCGAACGAGAAATAGAAAGAGATCGAATGTTCGTTCACAAGTCTCCCGTTCATCTTCTCGTCATTACTCGTCATCAAGCTTCTTTCTTGTCAATGGAGAGATCTTAAGGTCACGATCAACACCACGTTGATCATTATCTTGAACTGTGGTAGACTTAGAGTCTTGCCATGAGCGAGCCATAGACGATAGGTACGACACTATGGACTACCCGTATCGTGATGCAGCGAATCGCTGTCACTTTCGAGATAAGTGACGTAACTGTCGGTACTGTCAGGATGTTGTCCCATATCTGGACCACCACCTCCAGGATGATGGGGACCTGGCGGAGGTAAAGGACCACCACCTCCACCGCCACCCCCGTCGTTCATTGGACCACCGAGCATTCCTGGAGGTGGGAGCTGTGGCGGGGCTCCTCCGTGTATGTCGTATCCATGCATCTAAAATTCAAACAAATATGTATTTATATGCTAATCCAATAATTATATTGCCTGTATATACGAATCAATATAATCCAGGTATTGTATTTACCTGAGAAACCAAATGATGGAAGGCTGGTGCATTCGGATCCAACCTATCGAGATCCGTATGCAAGGCAAAGTCCGATAGAGCTTTCCAAGGTGGTTGATAGGCTTGCACTTCTAAAGGGGTCATGCCGATGGGGCTTTCGTGTCTCACAGGGCTACTCGCCACCATTGGGATCCCATGCATACCGCCGAAACCCAGTTTACGCCCGTCCTGCAACGGAAAGCACTTCGATCCATTAGATCAATAAAATCGGTTATGAATAAAAGAACAACAATTCAAATAATATATTATTTACATTAATTAGTAGTTTAGTGAAAGAGGACAACGTTTATTTTATTACCTTCTCTTGCATTTGTTGCTTCATCGCTATCGTCTTCTTCTTATCCTTACATCTCTTGTTTTGAAACCATACCCTGATCACTCTTGGACTTAGACCCGTCATTTCTACCAATTGTTCCTTCATCAATGCGTCTGGTCTTGGATTTGCAGCGTAACACGTTCTCAAAGTATGAAGCTGTTTCTCGTTTAAAACCGTACGAACTCGTGTTGGTTTTCCATCGGAACCACCACCGCTCTTGTGACTTCCGGTTCCTCTTGCACCACCTACACCGGCCTTATGAGAACCACTCTCTGATCCAGAGTCTAAAAAAAAACAAATCAAATTCGATTGATATTTAATAAAGTATTAAGTAGCGCGGATGGTTGTAGATAATATTAGGTTTTATTGATAAAATTTTACAGGGAACTTGGACATGAAAAGAAGTAGAACTTAGTTTGATTGAGTTGGACGTTTCGTCCCTTTATTGGGACTTCTTCAGCAACTGTAAATTTTATTTTATTATAAATTCTTGATACGATACATGAGGTTCATACAAT